AACCTTTTATTCGGCCGCTCTGTAAATCTGGGGCATTCCTGCATTGATTTCACCATTCAGGCCAAACAGATGTACAGTCCTATTGAGAGCGTGCGAGTGAATTTACGGCGCCTCAAGTGATGCGTTATAATGCATGTGCTGATTTGCATTCACGGATCAAAATGGTATTCAGCTGGCCTTTGTGAGATGATCCAGAGCATATTCCCTCTTTATCTGCCAGAGCCGAAGAGAAAAGTACTGATTTTGACCAGATGCCGGCCAACGGGAACCGACAGTAACAGCAATACTTATAGCTTTACCCTGTGCAAACAGGAGCAACTTAAAATAAGATTTCATTTAAGTTCTCATTATAATCTCATTGTTTGGCAGACGTATATCGGTGCATACTCTGTGGTTCGTTGTGCTGTGTGGTAATGTTCCTTGATAAGCGGAAAGCCTATCTCTTCAAAACCACATGCACGAGTCTACAGTCACTGCGTCTCACAACATCTTATTGTGGCTTGCAAGCCTTTTCATCTGTGTTGTTGTTAGAACCACAGGCTACAGGGTAGTTTGGGATATCATCTGAAATGTGGTGACTTTGTAGTCGGCCTTTCTGAACCATCGCTTTGTCGAAGCTCTTTTTTTAATGCAATTAGAACTGTTAAGTGTTTTGGAGTAGATCTGTTGCAGCTGCACACATCAAACGACTTGACAGTTTTGCAAAAATACCTCAGGTTCAGTCAAATTGGATGGATAGGATTTGTTAGCCTCCATTCTCACATCTTGCCACAGATTCTCAGTTGGATTCAGCTCTGCAGTTCTGTCCGTTTGTTTAGGGTCGTGGTTCCTGTGGGAAGTTGAACCTTTTCCCCAGTCTTGAGTCTTTTGCATCCTCTTGCAGGTTTTCTCCCAGGATTGCTCTGTATTTCACCTCATCCATCTTCCCATTAGCTCTTAATTGGACGGTGCGCTCAGGGTGTTGAGCAGGATTAATTTTCGGTAGTATCTTGGCCAAAAAGTTTTTTTTTTTTTGTTTGTTTTTTTTCTTTTTTTGGTCTCATGTGATCAGCATACCGTCCTCCACATATTTTCTGTGTCCCTTACAATAATTTGGGACAAACTTCAAAGCCCCTCTGAAACATTCTTCAGAGATTAAAACCACTGTTAGATATAAAGAATAAGAAAAGGTTTTACGTATTTATTAGCAACATAGTTGGTTATAATTACAACGGCTAAATGAGAGCAAAGTCCTCCAGACACACTACTTGGTATGTCAACTGTCATTCGTGGGACACATATGCCACCTTTGCCACATCAAGACCAGAACCAGTTTGAAATTAAAACGCCACAATATTCTATGTAGTCCTGATAACATTTTATCAGGAGCTACATGCTCCTTCCAGTTCTACTTAGAGCTGTAGGCATTTAAAATGCTCTTCAATATTTCTCTCTTTGCTTGACAGTATTTGCTTAGTCAGTGTCTGATGTTAAAAAACAGTAACAAATCTGAAAAAAAAAGAATAGTAAGGGGATGTAAATACTTATACAAGACACTTTGAACCCCTCCGCCATTGTGTGCACGTGAATAGTGGTTAGTGTTGCAGTGGGTTCACCATGACCCAGATGCCAATGTTCGTGTTTGTGCTCACTCCTCATTAATTTATTTACAGGTTCCTAAGGCAACCCTCATGAAAAACAATTAGGGCTTCCCATGGAGGACCTTGTTAGCAGCAGTTGTTAACCTCCAACCAAAAGTACTTCACATCTTTCTCCAATGATTTAAGATCGTTAAATAGAAAAAAACAAACAAACAAAAAAAAGGGTCCATAGCAGTTTTTTAAGCAGCCCCCTCTTGCACCTCTATTTTTTTCCACTTATAAGGTGAAATGTGTTCCACTTGAAGGTTTTGGGCCAAAGGCACAACATCAGCAGCATAGTGGCCCTACCTCTGCCAACGATGACTTTCTGTTTCTTGTGTGGTGCTAGTTTTTGTGTACTTCTCTTACTGTGTGTGCGTGTGTGTGTGTGTGTGTGTGTGTGTAGTTGCAGTACAGAGAGACTTTAAGAGCAGAAAAAGAGCGTATGTGCGTGTAAGTGTGTGTCAGGGCAACAGAGGGGTGAGTGTGTTCACAGAGTGGGTGGGGTGGTGTGAAGCTGTTGATCTTGGGCTTCAGTCTTAAACAAATTGGCCATTCCTCTGTGGGAACTGGGAATGCAGTCACACAGGGAAGGTCAGCCTGCTCTGTGTCAGATTCTCTAAATTTCTCCAATAGCTAATTATCTCCCAGAGTGCCAGAGGAGAGGTTTGGAAAAGCTTTTGTTGTTTTTTTTTCTTGAAGCCTCTTCACACTCTCTCTTTGTTGCTGCATTCTCCCAAGCTGACTCTGAAAAGTTTAATCTTGATAGGCTGGCTGAGGGCTGCATTGACACATCGGTAAGGATAGTTAGTTTTTAATTATTGTCTTGAATGCTACAACGAAACCCCAAAAATAATTAAACGTACTCTCCAGCTGCAGGTGCAGTTCTGACATGCAAGCGTTTCGATGCTCAAATCTCGCACTGAACTGTAAAAGTCGCATTCCCTTCATCCGCATCGCTTTCTACTGAACAAAACTTCTTTTACTGCAGTCATATGATGCAGTGCTTTTACTGAGGTCCAGCAACCTTTAGCATCTGCAAGCAAAGATTAAAGTGACAAACACATTTTTTTCTCACTGGCTTGACTTGATGAAAGGTTGCATTACCTCCTGCAGGCAGACCCCTTCTTTTCCCTACGTCGTCACAATGCAGCCACATTATGAGCTGCCCGGCCTATAATGTGAATGCGATGACAGGAAGGTTGTCAGGCTCCTCCTATAGGCCACCAGGTGCTGAGCAGCAGTGGGTTAGAGTCTGGACAAGCTTGTTTTCCATCTAAAACTGCAGTCACACGATTTCTCCTCTTGCCTGGTATGTAGGAATATCAAAAGCACTTTTTATGTGTCCAAACAGAAACGAGGAGCAATTGAAGAGCTACAGAATGTGTTGTGATGCATCCTGTTGCATCAAACAAATCATTAGATGCATCCCATTATAACCAGGGTGGATCTTCTGTTGCCTTTAGAGATGACATTGTCTGTGGCACGGATTTGACAAGTTGTCAGAAACGTTCCTCAGACTTTTTGGTTCAGATCGACATGTCATGTAGCCGACCCACATTTGTTGGCTGCACATCCACAATGTGGTTGTTCCATTCCAGGTTCTGTCGAATTGAGATCAGATGTCTGTGAACGAACTGCATGTTCAAGAAGCCAGTTTGATGTTGAGGTCTGTGGCCTGGTGCATCATCCTGCTGGACACAATATGAAGTAGATTAAAGGCAATGCTGGAGTGTCGTTTACTGTATATGTAATGTTTTTTACTGGTATTGTCAAAGTGAAAATGTACAACAGGTGAAAAGTGAAATGCTGAATAATAGTACGGCCTTTGTAACCATTAACTCTCCACCTTGTGATTTACCCTGCAGTGTTTGTACAAATGCAGGTATCAAGAAATGCCATGTTTTTGATCTAAAATGTTTTTTTGTTTTTTTTTAAACAATGTGGTGTGTTGATTCCACTTGAAAAGATTTCTACTCTCTCTATTAATTGTTTTAACATTTGAAAGCTTGGGATGCATCTAAAATCTGCTCGAACGTTTATCCGCACATAGACATCGGTTACTTTTGCCATGAGATAAATAAATCTAAATCTGATGATGTTCATCCATCTGTCCTAAATTAAGCAATATGGTTACAAAAACGTTTTCTGTCAATTTCTTTTGAATAATTTACTCTGTTTGAATTGTAGTGCATTGCAGCTTTATCAACTTAAACTCAGATGTCTGAAGCGTTTTCCCCTTCCTCATAGTTTTTTCTTTTGGATCTCCTCGATCTTTTTTCTCTTCATTTTGTTTTATCTTTTCTGTCTTAGTAACTATACATTTCTGTTGGCTTTCTACCACAGGCTCGTGTCCCTTCTCTCATCTCCACTCTCGGCCTCTAAAGGGATTCTGTTGACACAGACTGAAATAGGGGGACAGACTCTGTCGAGACCGTCTGGTCCCCAGCCAAGAGAGCTGCTAGTTTCTCAGGCTCCCCGATCTCCTTCCCAACTTTTTTTTCTTTCCCTGAGAATGTCTTTCTTCAGAGTTTTTTTTTATTTTTTTATGCTATCTCATCTACCTGAATCTAATTTTGCCTTTGTCGGTGCTCACCTGCAGCACGAGCGTGAGAAAGTGCCCTTTGAGAGGGTACTTTAAAGCAGCATAGGTCATCATTTTCATTGACCTTTTGCTGGTAATTATGTGCACAAAAGGCTGGTGATGGAGAGACAACAGTACAATTTTTTTTTAGTTTTTTTTTTGTAGTTTTCAATAAATTAACTCGAGCTTTGTCATGGTTTCCTGCTGCTGGTGAAAGACAGCTGCTGTCTTGGAAGGAATTTCACATTACAATAGTTGTTTTTTTCTCATAATTTTTAAACTTCAGAGACTGCCTCTAGGGTTAGCAAAAAGAAAAGCTGAGTTAATCAGTACAGTGCAGTGAGGTCCTGAGACTGAGTGGAAAATACATAAAATTTCAAAGAAAAGAGAAGACTGCTGTTATGGTAAAGCTAGCAGCGATTATGTTTCAAGAACAAGGACGTCTTCTAGAAAAAAAAAAAAAGCCTTGGCTGACAGAGCCGTCTTCCATTACCATCTAAGAGGTATTTACAAGCGCGATTACTGTGATTATTATTTCAACAATACCCTGCAATGCTCTTTCATGGGCTGCCAGCCGGAGCGAGGACAGGGAGGGCCTGCCAAGCTTGTCAACCTGGGAATTTGTCTAGCAGCTCCATAGGACACAGAAAAGAGGAACGGAGTGAGCCAGAAAAAGAAATGCCATGGCAGAAGTAGAGAAAAGGTGATGCGGTTCAAAAGGGTTTTTGCCTTTCTGCAGGGTCACAAGATGCCACCCTTCTAAAATGTCTTTGACCTTCGTTTTTCTTTCTCTGCAGCCCCCACGGAGCCTTTGCTGTGCAAATTTGCAGACGGAGGGCAGAAGAAACGCCAAAGCCAGAGCAAGTATCCTCAGAATGGGAGACCGTGGCACAGAGAAGGGGAGGTGAGATTTTTGGGACAGTACAAAACTTTACTCTCGCTCACTGAGAGGAAATCCTAAATGCCGAGCGACCCTGAGCTTTTCCCACGTCCGTAGAGTCAAGTCTTAGGAGGAGCGAATGTAAAGAAATGGAATCGTTACATCTATTATATCTTCTCTGTAGCTGTCCACAAATGGCTTCAGTGCTGTCTGTGCTCTGCAACCACAGACAGAATTACTGAAACTTCTTTGTGGGATTTTTTTCCAAGCACTCTTGGCGTGTTGGTGGTGACATATGAAGACTTTTACAAGGAACCACATTTCATTCACAAGTAAATCAAAAGTATTTGCATTCAAATATGACAATAATTGTTAGAATAAATGTTAAGATTTACTGCTGTAAATGCAGGCCTTCCAAAAACCCAAACAAGTCTGTCTGTCACATCTCGTGTTTTTGCGAACAGAAATGATTTGCCATTTGCGTCCATTTTAAGAGATGAGGGGGAAAATAGAAATAAACAGCAGGTTGAACTGATCCTGGATGCACACGAGCTGTCGTGTAAATTGCACCTCTAGCCAAGTGCCTCACTGAACACACGTTCCCTCCATACACCGGAATGGCAGGAAACCCAAAACCAGATTCACCGTGATGACATGCGGATACAAGGTCACGGCTAACAACCGTCTATACTGGAAAGGACGCGGAGAGGACACAGGCTGGGGAGCCTTTAAACTGGACTATACAGATGAGGAAGAATGCGAGCACATGCGTAAGAGCCGGCACACACGTTTAGTGAGGCTGACAGTTATGCTGAAGCAGCAGCGTGGGAAGACCCAGAGAGATGAAATGTTTGTCCTTCAGAAAACAGTCTCTGTGTGTGCATTTGTTGTTGGTTGTTGGACTATAAATTGGGCTCCGCGTCTCCCTCAGTGCTTCATCACATGATTAACTGCACCGAACACATCCAGTCAATTATGGGCTGTGTTTTATTTATTTATTTTTATGGTGGAATAATTTCACACAAGAACTTTTAATGGGTTTTAAAGATAGTATCTGTATGTTGAGACTTCAATTTATCATGGGATTTTTCTAATCCTCACAGGGTCAAACACATGCATACATCCCCACGGCTGCTTGCGTTTCACTTAGAACGTCAGACCTAAACTACATCGTTTTTGCCACCATCAACAAGCTTCTGGTGTAAATACTGCTGAATATTTGGACATTCATCTTAGTTAAAATTAATGGAGTTAATGATGCTTCTCTTGCATGACAACTGGAGCGCTGCTTTTTGGCTTGAAAGCATGACATTTCCTCCTGCAGTCGTACTTCTGTTATAATATTTCTTCAGAGAGCATGTGGGCAGTTGCAGATTGATTTTAGAGCAGAATGCTTGTGTGTTAACATCATTTTTTGTTCAGTTGCAATATCAAAAGCGATCCAGATTTCTCCAGTTCATGGAAGGCCAGAAATTCGGTGGTTCCTGAACAACCTCGCCGGTTATTTTTCATCTGAGGTCGACTGTTTGTGCATGCTCCCAGAAGTCGGCACAGGCCAGATACATCTGATTACCATGACATTCACTACAACTGTTAAAACGAATGGTTCTGCATACCTCAGCAGTTTAGAAATGATTTCAAAGCACTGAAGCAGCTTGTGTAAATCTACAGTTTTCCTCGGAAACTTATTGCGCTTTTTATCTGTTCCAAGTACGGGTCAACCCAATACGATGTCAAATAAATCTTTTTTTGTTTAAGTTTCCAAAGAGAAAATATGAAAAGTTTCTCTTTTTTTCTTTTTAAGAGAAAAATGTGAAACAACAGAAAGAATTCTTTGTTGGTTGTTGGAGCTCTACAGCGTCCCTGCAAACCTTTAGCGTACTCCTGGGTTTATTTAGAAGAATTTCAACTTTTCATCATGTAAAGAGGCTCTGCTTTAAGTTACCTTTCTGTGGGACGCGCACTGTGATTAAAGTAGAGCTTGTCCAGGACGGTGCGCTCTGACGCAATTTACCGTAGCTATGGGAAGTTTCATCCAAAGACAAAAAAAAATAAAAAATAATGTTCACCTAGATTCTATAAACATACAGAGACCAGAGGGGAAACAAGAACGACTGGGGAGAAATAACAGAGACCCAGAGTTTGTGCATAGATCTGAGTTCAGCCAAAGGCTGAGCTGAACAAAAAAAAAAAAAAAACATTCAAGCACATTATGATAAGCTAGCTAGCTTGAAGCTTAATTCAAACGTACACTGAAGACCCATTTAAACCTCAAGTTTTAAAATCTCAGAGCAGGGATTTTGTGTCTCAGTTCAAAATATTTTCATGTTCCCTGTTCCTGGTAGCCATCTCCTCTTCCCCCATGATGGCCTCCACTCGCATTGTTTCACGTTACTTTGCTTTTTACAAAATGCTTTTATTGTCAAAGTTCAAGATCAAGTGCCAGGAGCGAAATCTGTTGCCGAAAGCTTATATTTTCATGCCGGTCGGTTACTTCAGATCTGCGCCCCTGCTTCGTGTTATTTTAGAGCCAAATGAACAGTGTTTTGGAAAAGTATTCTTTAGCTTTTTTTTTTTTCTATTTTTCTACATTCCTACCACAAAATAAAACGTTTTCTTTTATTGAGGATTTAAAGTTCAACACATTGCAGCTCATAACTGCAAAGCGGAAAGAAAAAGGGTACATGGCAGAAGACCTTTTAGAAGTAAAACGGAGAACACGACCATAAACACATAGCCTGACCTACAGTGAAACGGTTCTGATCAAAGTTCAATTATGTGTTAGAAAAGCCTAGTCAATGCAGACGCCTACGTAAATCAGGAATATGAGTCAGTACTTGAAACTAACTCATATTCACAGACATCCTATCTCACTGAGCATGGGGTTAATGGGGAAAAAAAACATAACTTTCCATCTCTACATGTGCAAAGCTGGTAGTAGACATAAACAAAAAAAAAAAAAACAAAAAAAAAAACACCTGTAATTGCAGCAAAAGGAGGTCTTACAAAGTATCGTACCATTTTCCTTCTGTTTCACAAATTATGAGTTACTTTGTTCTGGTCTACAACTTAAAACTCATAAATTATGTTAAGGTTTGTGGTTTCAACGCTACATCATACAAAAAAAAAGTCCTCAAACTAATTTACGACCTTTGTATTTTTTTTTTTACACAAATAAATGTCCACTCACCTTATTTAGCACAAGAGTCTAATAATATATGTGCCCACTCACCATGCTGCAGGACGTGTTAATGAATCTCACAGGGAGAAGCCACTTCAGGTGGGTCAGGTGACCTTCAAAAGTGAGAAGATTTGCCTGCACCTTGTTCCAAGTGTGTGGCCATGACCTGTTCCAAAGGCAGTCAGCTCTAACCACATCCCCAACACTTCTCCAATGTGTTTACATCTGTATTTAAGGCTTTCACTGGATCTCCAACGATGGAGCTATTGCTGGTGCTGAGTGACGCATATTTGGTATGATCTTAGTATTATTTCAGGCATAGATAGGTTTAACAAGCTTTAGTTTTGTTCTTGTGTGAATAATAAAGTCTCTCTGTTGTCATCTCATAACCATTTTATTGTAGAAATAAGATCAGTAGATTTGGCCTGAATGCAAGTACTTAACAGTAAATCCAAACTTCCAGGAATAAGGGCTTTGAACTTCTCGGAAAAGCTTTGATATTTGAATTTACTAATATATGTGTTCATTTAAACCTTTTTGCAAACAGCTTTTTAATGCACATGTCTGTTAATAAAGCCAGATAAGTAGAGATGAACAAATTAGTTTATTCTCCTTTCAGGTATATTACGTTTTGAAACTGAGTAACCGGTTTTCCAACAGACTCAGATTAACACCAAGAAGAGTCTGATTATTTATTTCCTGCTAACTGGAAATCTAAAGAAAGGGTTACCATATTTGTGTCAACTATTGCTTTTTGTAACACTCATTCAGCCGTCAGTAGTTATCAAAGTTAAATAAGATTGTGCCTTCTGTGGGACTTCTTGATCAGCTGCTTTCACATGATCATGTAAAGAGCCGCCATTTGTATTTTTTTTTAGCCCTGTCAACTTTTCAATTCCTGCCAAGAAAGAAACGTTGTACATTTATGTGTTCTGAGAGCTCACCACAATGTCCTTCATTTTTGTCGATGGCTGCATGAGATTGGGCTCGGCCTGCCGCCCCGAACACCTTTGCTGAGGGAGAGACAACTACGACCGACCCTCTGTGATGCAATCCCCAAGGCCGACTCAAAGGACGTCACGCGAGGATTTCCCAGCCTCTCGACACGATGCTAAAAGTGCTGCCTGGAAAGTGCTGCCAGTGATTGACGCCTGGTTGAAGGACAGAAATGTTTTGCCGTATCAGTGGGTTGTTTATACTACTGACCACAGAGATTTCAAGGTCACCGAATGCGCGGTGTTGATCTGATCCTCCTTTTTCCTCCAACCCAACTATCCCACGCAGAGACGAGGAGCAAATTTTAAAGGTTTAAATTGGTGGACTCCTGCAAACATTTAGCTACATATTAAACCTCTTCCATGTTTCATGTTATGTATTTTTATGAGTTAAGCAGATTTTTGACATCTGCATCGGGTTTGTACCAGCTTGCCTCGTCACTATTGAAGGCAGCTCACCTGAAGATGTGATCTAGTTGAATCAAACGCATTTGAATGGGATAATGAATAGAATGTCACTCACCCTACGGTCGTTGATCAGGTGGAAGGTGGGCATTACATGTCGGTCTGTTTATCAGAACTGGAGACATTTCTCACCACGCATACAGATGGAGAGAAAGAGTCCAAAGCATCCATCCGTCTCTTACTCCTCGTCTGCCTGTACAGAATTTCCCGTGGCTTCTTTTTTTTCATTTTTCTTAACTCTTCCTTTTATTCTGCCTTTAAGTGCTTTCTGCACACCTTTCGCTTTTCTTTTTTTTTTTTTTACTTTCATTGTGTCTCCCTGCGTCTTCCTCCCTGTGTTTGAAGTCTTCCCAGACCCCACAGCAACATATGGAGAGAGAAAGAGCAAGTGACTCACTGAGACGGAGACAGAGAAACAGAGAGGGAACACATTGCATGATCAGTCAGGAGTTGTGAGGGGTTGAGTGCTGCAGGGTGGCTGGTGGCAAGGATTGAGAAATATGACAGATTTTCTTGTAAACTACCCAATGTGGGAGCCTCGAAAGTGCTGTCTCTCGCTGTCTCATGCTGACAAACATATTAGTCACTGCAATTTTTTTTTTCTTCAAAACACACACACATGCTCTGTAGGTGCTCATCCCCGTCCCTTCCCCCATTTTTATTCCTTCCTTGCATCTCACCAACGCACACACGTACACACACACACACTATAAAAAAAAAAAAGAAAAAACTTTTCAAAGTCACACTTCTCAAGCAGCTACTCTTGGGGAATGCATGTAGATAAAAAAATAAAAAATAAAAAATAAAATCATCCGGCTTTTCTCTCTGTGTGAAAGCCTAACAGATGTCCGTGTGTGTGTGTGTGTGTGTGTGTGTGTGTGTGGCCACCAGGCAGAAAAAGAACAAAAAGCAAATTGGTTTCTGAATGGAAAATACAAGCAGGCATGATGCCACTCTCTATTCGGACAGAGATTTTATAAGTTACCAGCTTGAGTATATATATTTTTTTAATTCAAACTCTTTTGGGAGTAGAAGGATCATTAAAAAAAAAAAGCCATTTTATTTGCAGAACACACAGAGAGAGGAGGTTTGAAAACTGAAAACAAACTGCTTCTTTTCTGAAGGTCACGGTGGCGGCCGAGCTCTGATTATTTTTATTTTATTCTACACAGTTTTGGATCCATTTCTGATACCCCCGGCAGAGTAGCTGCCTCTTTTCCTTTTTTCCAGACGTACCAGCCTGCATCAGTAATCAGTTTGTAGCCCTGCAGAATCGCTGGTCAGGAGCTGTGGAAGTCATCAGCACATGGAAGGAAGCACAGCACCGAGGGGAGATATCGGCATCGCCAAACAGCTGCTCATGTCTGCTGCTGCTATTAGCACACATGCTCACCAACAAAACATGTCCGCAGTCTCTTCATTTCAAACGGGGCCTTGCAAGAGTGTTATTGGGGGTTTCTGCCACCTGTGCGCATTCAGGTGCACATTTACCCATCCGCCCAGTCAAACTGAACGAAGAGCATCTGAGAACAATCGTGCTTTCTATTGCTGCATATTATTATTATTTCTTGGTCAAATGTAGGTCTGGACATTGTCTGCTTTGACCTAAGCCATTCTTTTGACCTCGGGGTTCTTATGCAGTAGAACCGTCATCTGTACTCATCTTTTGCCGCCTCTACCAAATTTTCTTCTACAGTTGCTCTGTTTTTTAGCTCCACTTAATTTGGACAAGCTTCCCTGACCCCGAGGAAGAAGAAAAATATCCCCACATCATGATGCTGCCAGCACCACCCCAGTGGTTGTGTGTTCAGAGTGTTGTGCAATATTAGTTTTCTACCTCAAATAGTGTTTCTCTGTTTTCTGATGCGTTTTCTACTTGGCTTTGGCAAAATAGACTTCTAGTGGTTTTATTTTGGATTAAATTACACAGAGACACTGTTTTCTTTTTTTTTTATTTGTTTTTTTTCTAATTAGAAGACTAATAAATGAAAGTAATAGTTTAAAAATAATCTGCCAGTGGAAGTAGCACTATTTGATCAATATAGAGGAATTATTTACTTAAAACAAGTTCCTATACCTTTCTGATAAGTTACATGTTTGTCTTACTTCAAATGTCTAGTAACTAGATTAAAAAAAATACTTGGTAAGAGTTTGTGGTTTTACAGTGTGAATAAAAGTTAATTCTACAATTTCTGGATTTTCTGTATACATTCTGAAGTGGAAATCTTTTCCACTTTGCCGTCACCCGTTATATTTATTCAGTCACCTAATATTCTGATAACTGCCTTAAAGTTAGTGACCTAAAAAATGGTCAAATGTCCAGCGGGTACGAACACTTTAACACAATATTATGTCGACGCATTCAAACTTTAAAAGATGTTTAACACTTAAATGTTCACAGTTATGTAACTAATCTTTTAAAATTAGCAGCGACTGCATTCGTTTCGAATAAGTTTTCCTTTTGAGTGGATATGCTAAAACATTTTCACAGACGAAGCCACTTGATTGCACGTCATCGGATCTGCTGGAGGTTCGATGTTTTTGCTCATTCTCAGGGTTTTGGTCATAGGCTCGCTGATCCCTCTGCTCTTTTGAGCCGGTGCTTCCTGACCTGTGTGTGCAGGTAGCCGCCGGTCAGTACAAGGGCGAAAAGATGTACAGGAAGAGGAAGGGGGGGTTTGGAGATGAGGAGGTTGTGGGGTGAAGAGAGAAGGAAGGAGAAAACAAGATGTTGAAGAAAGAGAAGTAGAGAGCACAAAGTGAGGGAGAAGATAGCCAAAAAAGTGTGTGTGTGTGTATTCTGATGAAATCTGCCATCCTCAGCAGCCTCCTGTTAAAAGAAATCGGATTAGCTCTCCTCTGGGAGGGAGCCTTCAGGAATGCAGATGAAGGATTGCGGCACAGGTTCCTCTCCTGGACTCTAAAATGCCCTTAGCCACACACACACCCACCCACACACACACCTTCTCAGTCTCCCTTTTCCCTCTAAAAGGCATGTCTTCATTTCCTCCTAGTCATAAAAGCAGAATTGTATGCGATTGAAATAGGAAAACGAGTGTCTTCGATACTAATTCGGTTTGTCCTATTGACTGAGTTTAGTCCCACCTCAACTTTGGCACTTGTCAGTTTTTTCCAAATTTAAACGAGCTGATACACGTTTGATTTAATTCATTTTTAGCATAAAGAATCGGGGCTTAGATTTAGTAAATGTGCAGCTGCAAATGATCTATGCGACGTTGGCAACTATTGGCAGCTTCTGCTTCAGCCTGAAAGGTTGGCAGCTAAACGGGGTCTGTATCAACGGTTTGTCGTGTGTTATGTGGCTTTTCATATGTGTTTGAACTACTTGTACTTAATTAGCATTTTTAGCCAAGAAATCTGATTAAAATACAACATAAGTGGTAAAATCCAGGAATCCAGCTGAGAATGCTGAAAAAAGCTGGGGAAGAGTCATCTGATTAAGATGGTTATTTATAAATGTGTATTATATTTAATGAATGCCGTGTTATGCAGTGATTTCACCAGTAAGGCTGAGGGATCAGCAGCAGCAAAACAGGGGACACTTACAGACTGTAGCCCTAGATGTAGATGTGGAAGCACTCTGTAAAAGTCCCAGTTTGATGGTAATTTGCCACAGTGGTGAGTGATTGCTTGAGACAAAAACTGTCATTAAACGAAAAGCTACAATTTTGACACTATTTTTGCCAAAATGCCATTTCTACTCGATATCGGCACAAGTCTGTTTGGAAACTTCATCACCATCTTAAATTAAACTACAGAGCAGCACAGTGGGGTGTAGCATAAAGCATCTGTGAATTAAAATAGCTGAAAGTCTACAGCGCAAAAAAAAACAACAAAACAAAAAAAAACAAAAGAAGAACGAGTTGCTGCTGCTGCTAATTACTCTGGGTAAATGTGCAGATTGTTGTCCTGAACTTTAATGGAATAATTTCCATGGATGCCAGTAGATGTTTTGGACTGACGGAGGTCCAATAAAACCCAAAAGTCGCAATACAACAATACATTTCTTTTACTTGAGGAACTTTATGCTCACAAATACTAACCACAGTGCCGTTTCCAATGGAACTATTTCTTGCAGCTGGACCATGTAATGATGCGTCTTTGTTCTTTATAGTCTTGAGTTGTTCCTTCTTTAGATCTAAGATTCCAGTTGTTCCAAGAGACAAGTTTTTTTTTTTTGTGTGTGTGTGTGAGGAAAAATACATCCTCTTTGCTTATTGACTTCCAAAAATCTCATCAAACTGATTTTCCAAAAAGAACATCAATGAGGAAAGTAGGAATAGCAACTCCTTCCTTTTTTGTTTCACATGCCACACCTCTTCAGGTCTAGAAACACGAGCTCCTCATTCACTTGAGTACAATATCTTAGGTATAAAATCTAAGGATGTAATTGGAGAAGCACCATCATACGTGTATATACAACAGAGGTCTCTCTAAAAGTCTTTTTTGGCGTCAGAAAAGTGCATTTTAATGCCACTTACCTTGGACAAACACAGCCTGTGATTTAGTTCTGCTTCATACCGTTACGGTTTAATGATTTTTTTGTCTCCTTAAAAATATTTGTAGATTAATCAAAGTAAAATGAAGTCAAAGTCAGAAATCCCATTACCTCTGCAGGAACAGCTGACAAACTGAAGAGGCTAATTGCCTAGCGGTTGACCTAAATAATTATTCAAATATGAAATACATTTTTGGACGTTTTTCTGACATCCCTTCTCTCTTTCAGACTGGCATGGCGTTAACGTACGATCCTGCTGCAATGCAGAATGGGTAAGAAGTCTATCTTTGGCACCAACTAATGCACTCTCCCTTCCTGGCTCATAGAAACCAAGTCAATATCACTGCCATACATAAAGATTAATGTAGCGTCTGCACTTTGTTACGGTTTGATTAGGGGAATCTATACAGACTCCAGGTATTGGTTTTCAGTGGATGGGTTGGATGAGAGATGTGGGGCACAGAGGGGAGGCCGTGCGAGCCTTCCTGTGTGCGTCTTCATGTGTGCTTTTGGTCTTTATGTCATGAATTAATGGTAATCCGGAAATAAATGACCAGAGCGACATATTTAGTTTTTCCAAGTTCCTCTGAGACAGGAAAGAGCCTGCTGGGCCCACCAGCCCTCTATCTACCCCTGACCTCAGTCATTCACAGGAAACTCCTCACTCCCACTTCCTAAACCACTTATCCCCCAGCGACCACAAGTCAATCTCAACCAGCAGCCTACACAAACAGCACCACTCGCTTTACGCGGCCTGCAATGTAAACGCTCCGTCTGATGGAACTCTGCAGGCTTGTAATCCCACGGATACATTTTGTGGGAAAGTAATGTTGACATTTTCAGACGTTCCAGTTTACATTTAGTCCGACTACAGAAAAAGTGAACGTACAGAGCAATCGGTTTGATATCGTCCTAATGTAAAGTTTAGGAAGAAATGTTTTCACAGACAGATGCAGTATTGTTCTAGTGTATACTCAAGTTACTGAATTAAATATTTACTTCTATTCTAGCGTCTGCAGTATATGCAAAAGTTTTAAACTACCCCTGATTTATTTTACCAGTGGAGCTGCATGCTTTCTAAACGTCTTTAAAATATTTTCTTAAAAACAAGACTGGGAGATCCAATGTCCTTGGGAATCAGCATGTTTGCACCAAAATACACTTTTCACTGATTGTTTTTTTTTTTTTTTTCTTAATTCAACTTAACAAAAGGGAACAAATTCTGTCTTTGGACAAACTTGTGGTTAAGCATGAGCAGGTCCAAGATTGTCACAGCACTGAAGCTTTGATCACTCTGGCACATCTGATTTAAAGTGCTCTAAACCATAGGAATGTTATGCTGGAGCATTTTTTTTGTGGTTTTGGATTCTAAGGACAATAAAATCAGTGTTTTGGAGTGGTCATTAAAAAGCTCTAATCCCAATTCACTAGTAAACCTCTAGACAGAGCTGAAAACAAATGGCTATCAGCTGCTTTGCCATTTGATAGCACAACACCTTGGTAGAAACACATCTGGAATAATCTAATAGAAGCGTCATTTTGCAGCCAATTACTTTGGGAGATTTATAATGCGAGTCCCTCCTGATGTACAATTTGTACATGTAGATAGGAAGGCCTGTTTTGCAACACTAGAACTTGGATAATCAGTGAGATAGTTGGAGTGAAATCATCTATCTGGTGATTTTTCTGAGGTCAGATGTGAGGCCATCTGTTGGACAGCTGAGATTTGTCCAGAACTGGGTCATGCAACAGAGCAATGATCCCAAACACTGCAGAAAATCAAACAAATGGCAAGAAAAGAAAAGCATCTTATTGTTCCTTGGCTTAAAGTCCAGACGTCAGTCTGATTTAAAAGGCTTGGCTGAAGCCACGAGAGAGCAGCGAATAAACAAACGTCTTTCAAGATCAATATACTAATGCAAAATTATAAATAAGTGTTCTTTGATTCTTTCATAACAATCTGAGAGGCAGAGAAGATCACAGAGAACATGACTGCTACGTCTTACCCTTAATGTGGTTTAGGTGAGGGGAAGATCCTCTCTTTAAAGCTGTGGAGAGTGTCAATCGTTTTGGGTTCATTTTAGAATATTAAAACATAATTTAACACATTTCAAATGACTTCTTGATAACATGCGATCTAACTATTTGGCTGGCTTTTGCACATGTAATTTAGGTGTCAAGTTATCAAGTAATTATTATAAGTGAGTCTGAAAACATTTTAGCAAATGGTGTTCTGATCTTTAGCTACAGACCATGCACAAAACGACTAATTTTGTTTACCTAGACAAGAGCCATTTAAATATAATTTGTTATGCTCCAGACCGTTCTTACTCTGTGGCTTTGAGGAAATGACACAAAACACCAAAATAAATAAACCTGCAGTTTTACGGATGTGTTTAGCTCAGGAACAAAACACTGCAGCACATTTGTGTTGCATAAGAGGCATTTGTTTAAACTATTTAAAATGGTTAATATACATCACACTAAATTATGGTAAAATTTGATTTCATCCATTCGGATCCACTGCTTTTAGCAAATCTTTACCATTTAAAGAATATTATATTCTGGCCTCAGCTACATGATTGATGACTGTTTAGACGTCTCACAACAAACCCACGAATGCATTTTTGTTTTCCCAACATTGGGAATTGTCTCTGTTCTCACTGGAATTGTCTAAGCGCTAGAGCTTAGCAGCAGGAGGAGAGGGCAGATGTAAGGTTAGGTCGGTCTGGAGAAGTTCAAGAAGAAATTCTCCTTTTTCTAAACTTTCTAAATGTTTTCTGACTCAACCACATGACTTCGAGCAGACGAGGACAAACGTCTTGATGTACATTACCTTGTTTTAAGAAAACCGAATACAGTGAACCCCTGCCTATTTGCGATTCAGTATTCTTGGAAAACATGTCAATTTGTTCAAATGTTCAACGGAAAATTCAGATTGGGAAGCTGAAAGACTTAGTTGCAATCCCACTTGGCAGGTTATTGGCTGGTGTTTGGAAAGCAGTCAATCCAGGAACACAATTTATTTTCCTTTTCGCTGATTGGCAGTTCCCCCAGGAGCGGAAATAAGGAAGATTGTAGATATAAGCTTCCTAAAATGGTTTCCACTGTGAATATCAATGCATATTAAGGTATAATTGGTATTTGAGCTGTAAGAGCTGGTAGTTAAACGCTATTGGGCGGTCCAATGCAATCCATTTCAGTACAAATACTAATAATACTCAACAATTAGATCCTCTGTATGCAAAAGTATTCTGGAGTCAAATGTCAGTCCCACCGTCTGACCACTGACGTTTGCTGAAACTGGGTCATCAACAGGAAAATGATCCAAAACACAGCTGCACAACTACAGCAGAACGGCTGAAAAGAAATCAATCAAAGGGATCCAGTGTCGTAGTGAAAATACAAACCGCAACCTGATTGAAATGCTGCGATGGGACCAGAAAAGAGCTGTGCAACAAAAACATTTGTGTCCAAAACTCAATGCACAGTAAGAGGGGGCTAAAGTTGGTTATTTTCTGTGCTTTGGCTTAGATTTAAATCATTTTAACGGCAGATGATTTTTCACGTATTCAGAAACTGAGATTTGAAGCCAAGTCAAGTTTTCCATCATTATTGTGGGTCTGATTGCGTATAAACATAAATACAGAAGTACAAATGTTACTGTCGGGCATCGCCAAAGTTCAACACCTTTGCATTATTTCATTAATGTCAAATATATATTGAGGAATAATTGAACTGAAGTATTTTCTGCAGTCTCAATTTTTAAACCTTGTAAATCACTGCATTCTTCTATTAGGTTACATGACGTAATTAGAACAGCTTTTGCTTGGTTTTAACTTTCCCCCCCCCCCATTTTGGCTCCTTTTGTTCTCTCTTCTCAGTTTCTACTCCTCGCCTTACAGCATCGCCACCAACCGCATGATCGCACAGACCTCCATCACGCCCTTCATCGCTGCTTCCCCTGTTTCCACATATCAGGTAGGTCGTAATGTGCCACTTTATGGGCGGATCGGCTGCCTGCGTGCGTTATGGAGAAGTTTTCTTTGTGCGCGGGGATGTTAGAAAGGAAATGAGCTGCAAAACAGCATGAGGTCCTCGTCTCTTCTCTGGTTATCTCTCCACTGTCCCAGCTGTGCTTGATAACATCTGCTGTGCGCATGGGAATCGCTAAAACAAGCAACATAAAAATCGGCATCAAGAAAAGGCTGAGAGAGGAGAGAACAAAAAAAGAAAAACGTGCACGTCCACAGTGTAAAAATTTTAATCTGTATATATTGTTTTAATGCGGCTCTCTTGGATGTACCATAAAAATCAAAGGGTTCTTTATAACTACTCATTAAGTGATCTCTTTCGCACAATTAGATGTGAAAGAGATCTTTTAGATGTTTCTTTAGAAAACATCCAAAAGAATTACAAGATTTCATTATTATTGTTTAACAATAATTAGCAATCAATTTGAAGCTTTCTGAATTTAAAAATGAATAAAATCAGATCATTCGTATTAGAAGGACTTTCACGTTTAATAACTCAACCATTTTGATTGTAGCAGCTGACGATGCTAAATACTTGAGATCCTTGGTGTTTGGAGGCAAATTGTGCTTTAAATAGAGCTAAAGTCCTGTAAGAACATATAGAAAGCGTCTGAGGGGAAAAGCTGTGCTTGTTGGCAAAATTGTGAAAAGTATCTAGTTTCCTCCCATTCTGACTTCTTCCATTGCTTTTTTTGTTTTCATTTTATTTTATTTTCTCTACCTTCGCCACACAATCTCTTCTTCTTTCAGAGTAAATTTTCCACATTCCCCGTGGCTGTGATGTGTGGAGTAATGCAACAGAACAGAACAGGAACGTGAAAATTGGCTCTGTGATATGCTGGGAGCATCAACCATTTCCCGTCGCTGCACATTTCACGCAACACCCTTTTTCCTAAATCTAAACATCAAGAGGCCCCGCCGCCATGCCCTTTCTCTCTGACGCTATCATTTAACATCGGCTCTGTTTGGTATGCAAGGACAGACGGATGAGAACACAGAACAAGAGAAAGGAGATAAAGGAGAGGTGGGAGCTTTTCAGAGGAAGATAAGTTGGGAGAGGAGGAAAGGATCGCTCAGGTGGCAGCGATGGCGGTGCTTCGCTGGGTGGGCAGAGGGAAAGGTGTTCTTGAAGGTTGCTGTGCTCGTCTTTGATGCACGGCTGATTAAAACTGCGGTCCGGTACCTGCGGTGTAGGGAGAGAGGAAGAGGGGGGGAAAGCGGGCCGTGGCACGTCTCTAATCCGCTCTCGGAAGGCTTCCCAAATTGATTTATCAAAAACAATGGGCAGGCTTTTGAGGAATATTAATCCTCACAGTTTCAATATCGGCCAGCTCTGCCACCGCTCCTTGTAATATTGCCCTTCAGCCAGGCATGGCGGGAAGGTGAGTCCTTCATCTTCCGCTAAAGTACAAAGAGACGCAGCAAGAAGAAAAGGGAAAAGAGACAAGGCATGCAGTCATACACAGCATGGCAAACAAAAGGAAATCATTTCGTTTTATGATGAAAAGTATTACCTTTAGTAATGAAAATCTCTAGGTGCATAGATGTTATGGCGTTTGCAATTCCGTCTTTTATGTTTCTGTTGAAGTGATTCTTATTTTCGGCGGCATTTATCAAATCAGCAAATGACCCATACAGCTCCGACAGCTAGGCTCTGGTGTTCTTGTAAAACTGCCGTCTGTGGGCTTCAGCGACGACTGGCTTTGCAAGACGGGAAAAAAAAAAAAAACGCTTTGATGATACACAAGACAGGAGCCGGTCCAGACCAGATCACTACCAAGATTTCAGCTGTAGTGTCGCCAGTCAGCCGTGGTCTGGTTTCCATCACCGGCTCTACAGACCGCTTCACTGGCTGACTAAATATGTGGCTGGCTGTTTGAGAGTGGAGCTGGCTGCTTCACTAACTAGCTACCTGGCAGGGTGTTTGGCTTTACATGTGACTGGTTGGATGGGCTGCCAACTGGCTAACCACGCTACTGAACACCCGGCTGACCAGCTTTTTGCTTTATTGGCCCTTTAAAATTGTAAAACAAGCTGTGAGGTTCAGCCAGGGGTAGGGCGCTCTCTTAGGTTGAGCACATTTTGCCATTCATATTGACTGAACCCGGGGTGGTTGTATGGATGTACCCCGGTGACTCCTGTAATACAGAAGCAAAGCCACTTCGTTTGAGCTCGGTTTATAAAATTAAACCCAGTTACCAAATCTTCAAAAGCAAAGACATTCAAGTTCAAACAAACGTGAGAAAACATGATGTGTTAAGGGGGCGCATGCTATTATCATCACCATTACTACCTTTTCAATTTTCTTGTGCATGTAGCTTGGAATAGTTATATTTGTCTCAACGTTTGAATTAAAAGTAAAGTAGAACAATCAGTTCAACACAAAAAGAGAATACAAATGATCTTCAATGATGAAAGTTGCGAAAGAAAAGTTGGCAGATGGCAAGTGAATTCATAAGGTAAAGATTTTTATGGCTATATTTCCAGTGAGGGGAAAGAAAAACACCAGCTTAAAAACTTAGTAGACCAGCATCCAACCCAGGAGTTTAGAAGCTCTTTGTGGTTAGGCCAATCTGTCTTTACATCCACACAACACTAGATGACCATTTGTGACAAAATGTTTGATATGAAATAATAGAATATCGTGATGATTTTGTTAAACAGTAGTACTGATGGAAATTGGTACTACTGTCAGAATGTTGGCAACATTCTGACTCAACACTGAAACTCTATGGACACGTTCACACCTGAGCTGTGAGATTTTGCTTTCTTGAGGACAAGTCCACCATCTCCGACAAGCACGAACTGCTCAACCTCTCCAGCAGCAACCACTTGGAGAAGTGGTTGCTTCTCCAAGTGGTTGCTGCTGCTGCCTAAACCACCTGCCTAAACTGCCTTTTTAGGCAGGTGTGAAAACTCATCAGAAACTTGTGCAAACCAAAAAAGCTCTGGTCTTCCTCGAAACGGGGGTCTTGTTTGGTTGGATGTGAATCGTGGTGCAGTTTGCCAACAGACTGTATTTATTTTCTGGACTATTCTATTTGGTTCGTACATAGAAAGTTACAGGCTGGACAGATCACTCCCTAACCTGCAGCTCATACTGGGTAGCTCATTGTGATGTCGAGCCAAACCAGTTGGAGAAGAACTGCTAGCACTTTCATTATTCCCCACCAAGTCTCAGACAGAATGCCCCACACTATCCTGCTATGAAAGCAGCCTTTAATATTGTACACAGTTAGTTTTTTGACATGTCACATGACCCTAAAACATATTTCCCACTCTGTAGTTCATGTTGCTCAGACACAGAGAAAAAAATCAACTGGAGCTGATTACCCTGCAGGAGTGAAGTTTGGAGAGTGTGGATATTTGTATTTGTGTTATAATAACTCCTGAACATTAAAATATTGGGGGGGGGGTTTCAAAAGTGTTGATAGGGGAGAGGAAAACATCTCCATTCTTTTTTTTTTTTTTACTGTAGTCCTACTTTAACACCGTAGACAGCAATTCAGTTAAAAATTAAATAAGTTGCCACTTCTAAGCAAAATCATAATGGTATACTTACAAATTAATTGAACATGTGAATGAATTAGAAAGACCTCATGATTCTTTTTCTTTGATAAAATAAAAAAGAAAGGTGTTTTATAAAGTGGCTGTGATTCTGTGCTTTGAAAAACATGGTAAAGAAAAATGGCCAAGTGAGTGTTTTTATTTTTATGTTTTGTTGTTTTTTTTAAGTTGTCCCATTTCATTAGATCAGCTCAGTGGTGTGTTCGTCTTGCTAAATGCTTCTTTGCTTTCTGAAGCCCTAAATCAGCCTCAGAAGGACCATCTCTCCCAATTTACCACTACCATTTTAATTAGCAAACAGAGATTTTAACCACATCTCTCATTATTTCCTTGTTCTCTTTGATCTTGTACAGCCAAACCCAAAGCCCCAAGTCTTATACATATTAGTCTCAAGACTGCAGTCCTTTTATCTCTTAAACTAACAGGGAAGCCGGAATGCTCTTCCTCTGCAAGGGCCTGCACTCTGTCTCAGTTTTAAAGAAAGTGGCTGAGATCCGAATGAAAGCTTTTATGAATTCCTCGTTTAGTTTCTCATAATTCTGGCCTTGAAGTTTTCCTGTGTTCCTGTGTACAGACAAGCAAGTGGCACAGAGAACCCTTGTTGTGGTGGCACTGCAGTTTCTTACTTAGAAAATGCTCAAGAGAAGCGATCAGAGATAAGCTTCCTATGTGTCAATCGGCTGTCCCGTTCAGCTTGCAGAGAACAAACAGTGCCATGTGTAAACAAGCCGACTTGGCTGCACGTTTCCGAATATCAGCCTTGTTTAGGTGCGCATCCAAATCACGCATTTGTGTTGGCTCAGAGGATTGATTGCTCTTATAGCAGATTATTCCGTGTTTGTCTTTGTTTAATCCAATCGTTTTACCGAGATCTACGGCCGGTCTGTGTGTTTGTCGGCTACAAGCTGTCCAATTCTTCTCTCTTGCAAATAAAAAAAAAAAAAGTTCTGTTTGTTCATCATCTATTCATCCAGTTTCATAACTGTCACTATCAATGCTTCATCATCTCTAATTTTCCTTTTCTAAATGAGTTTGTTTCTGTGAGTATTTCTCTGGTAATTGCTTGGCATGCGTCTCCTCTGTCTTTGATTCAATCATGGCAATTTTATTATTAAAAATGTGATGTTGACTTGCTGTTGTCTTAATTTAAAGCCTGTTATTGCAACAGGATTGAATTGGAGAACAATAAGAAATAAACACTCCATGCACAAGCCAAACTTTTGGCAGTTATGTCAAAGCAGGCTGCCTCCAGATCTCTAAATTCTTGCAATAACTTTTTTTTTTTTTTTTGGCATAGCTCAATCTGTGTGAATCTCAGCCATTTTGGTCAGTGTAGTAATTTCAAAGCCATCAGACAGGAACATTCTTCGAACGAACTGCAAATACGCCAGCGTCTTGTACTTGTTTATGGTGGATATCGTTTAGATCCAAGACTCGTAAAAATGTACGTCACCACACATTCTGTCTGTTTCTCCTCAGGTCCAGAGTACGTCATGGATGCCTCATCAACAATATGTTATGCAACCGACAGTAAGTATACTCCAACACACTGGAGCTGGTCTTTATATCCTATTTTCAGACCAGCTTCTGTTTGGTATTCCTTTTTGACATCTACTGGCTTCTGTTTTCCTGCACATTTCATCCTGATCGGAGACAAATTTGTTGAATCCAAAGCACCCAAAGCAGTCCAGAACAAGATAGAAATAAATAACAATATATTTATAATAGCATTTAGTTTTCTAGAGTAAGAGTTTGCTTTGGTTATTCAGTGAAATATTTAATGGAGGAATAGTTTTCGATTAATCTTCAGCATCTCATCTCAGTTTTTGTTTTGACCCTCCTTGAATTGAAATAGAATAACTCCAAAGTCAAGAGATGTTTTCAACATTCAAATCTGTTAAGAATCCACAGGGATTGTGCTCGTTTTTATTTGTACCGCATAAATTGAAAACCCTGAAATATTATTAATATTAAATGAAAGAATTATTGCTCTAATGTTTTGAGTTTCTGTTTCTATAAGATCAATATTTTTAGTAGTTTCAAACACCGGATACAGATCCTGTTCGTCAGCCAAAGCAAATTTTTTGATGGCTCCACTTGTTTTACCGTCTGTTCCTTTTCTGTAAAATTTAAGAAAATCGTGTCCTCCGAGTTTAGCTAAGTTTTCCTTCCATGTGGACGGCAAGCCATGCATCTGAGCGGAGGAGATCGAGTGTCTGCGTCTTTTTCAGAAATGATGGCGGGATGGAATGGGAGATGGACAATTGGATTGTTGCTTCATTTGCAGTAATGAGACCGTCGGTTCGTTCTTACCGGGAAAACAAAGTGCAGATTCGAGAGGTGAAGCTCTCGCTTTACTTGTCCGTCTCCTTTCCAACCATCACGAGATGCGGATGACGACGGAAAGAACCCGATCCCGGATGCAACCAGCTGAAAGCAGCAGCAGCACTCTGCAGTAGAGATAAGATGAGGAGCTCTGTCGTCTGCAGAGTTCAGAGTCAAAACCCCTCTTCACTGCACCTAACGGAGTCAGTTGAAGTGGTTCAGATATCTTATTATTATGGATCTTGGACAACTGCCTGTTAAGGTTTTCTGGGTGCGCCACAGTCATTAGAAGCCTGGCGTTACTCTTTGTGGAGAGGGATGTCAGACGCACCTCTGTTACAGGCAAAATGGACGGATTTATGGACACTTGGATAGATGGATGGAGATATAAAAAAAAAATCATGCAAAGCTTAAATGTTATATATTATTCCAACTAAATGTATAAATAATTCATGACGCCCCACGTACATTAAATGTGGTTCTTATTCTTATATCGAGCATCCGACGCTCATAAAAAATGAGCGATTGCGACTCCTGGTTAAAACAAAGCTGCTATGAGTGGCATCATGCTGGTAGATATGAGTTAATGGAGCCATCAAAGAAAAGACTCTGTAGATTATAGGCGATTTCTTAAAATCACAAGTTGAGCACATACCTTGTGGGCCAAATATTCATCTGGATCTTATTTGCATTCAGAGAAAGTCGCACGTCAGCCCAGTTAGCAGAACAAGAAATGTTTCATGCAGCGTTGGTGCAACAAGCCCGTGTAAAGTTGAAGTCCCTCTAGTTGTTTGTTCCTGCAGGAAAAGCTTGATATAGCAAATGATTTCTGTCCAGATTAATCAGTCTGGTTTTCGGTAGCTTTGTTAGGGCCTCTCCTTAGACTTTGAGTTTCAGCCTCATGAACTAGTTAACGCTGGAGTCCGCCGCTGATGGTGCAGTACTCCCTCACTGGAGGGGAGCTCAACCAGCCGTGCGACTCCCTGCTAGGGCCATTTACCACTCGGTCCTAGCCGTCTCACTTCCCTTCCCACTGTGGGACAGTGAACATGTAATCTGGTCACAGCAGGCCTCCAGGCAGACACACACACACACACCCTGAGGTAGCTTTCCTCAGAGCTTCTCGGTTTCCCTTTCAGCCTTAAAACTTCCAGTTTTTTGTATGATGGCAAACTTGACCTCTTTGCCCAACTTGACCTCTTGTACCCTCCTACCTTCTCAACCAGACTTGCCATTTCTTGATGTTTCTTGCTTTCTGGTAGCTTTTGGCTTCTACTGATTTGTCATGTTATAAATATGAATTCCTTGGCTATAACATGTCTACTATTATAGTACAAATATGTAATATTTGTAATATTTAATGGCAGAATTAAGGTACAGAGCAGCCTCTCACTACATCCCTGAAAATCTCTAAAGAGTAAAAAAAATTGCATATTTGGAGCTCTAATATCTGTACAAATACAACCAATTATGACTAAAATGAATTTCTTCTTTACAAAAAAGAATGAATGTGTTTAAGTTTTTTCTGCGCTGCTGAAAATATAGAGCATATTTTCTATAAGTTCAAGTTCTCTACAAAAGGATAAAACAGAACCACTTTGCTATGATGTTTTCTAAAATTTAACCCTCTGTTTAAGGCAACACAAAGAAAAACCTGCATGTCACTGTGAACAGCACAGCTTTCTCTTTTTTTTTAGTTGACTCAATGACAGTGAAATTGACTGAATCTTTTTGTTGCTTCCACACTGAAGTGTGTTGTCAATGTTTCTTGCTATGGTGCTTTCAATGGTCAGAAAACTGGGTTTGACAAGCAGCTCAAATGTTTCCAGTCGCCACCCGATTCTTCAGAACACCTTTAACTTTAAATCACCACTAGATATTAAGTTTGGTTTTCAATTAGCAAGATTTAGTTTTAATGTGGTCCTTGTCGGACTGCCTTGGGGCTTTTAGCTAGTCTTTGAGAAATAATGTTTGCTTTTGATGGCTGCTTGTTTTCTGCTTCTTAGTTTTACAAAATATTGTGCACTGAGAAACATAGCAAAGCCCAGAGAGATGCCTGCATGCTGGGTTTTCACACAAAGTGCTTTGGAAATCACCTAGTTTAGCCACAAATAAGACACAATTTTAGTTTCTGACAAACATTTAGCTTTCGTAGAGTTGTCTAAACATCTTTTTTTAGTATTGTGTCTTTGCCTTGTCTGCTGTGTGATGTCACAACGTTGGTTTTTAACTGATTTAGATCAATCCCACCTGAAAGTCTAGAGAAAAATTTGTCACGACCGGTTTGGAAAAAGTACCAGTATCTCTCGCACGTCACAATTGAAACATACTGAACGACCGTCGCACAGAACTGTGTGTTTGTGTAATTGGTCACGTTTGCCATCACATTCTGTGCTTTGTTTGTGTTTTGTTTTACCATATGTGAGCTCCATATTGGTCATTCCCGTCGAGCCTGTGCGACGCCTGATGGTCATCCATCTTCCGGCCCCTCTGTCACAGGGCCTCTCAGAGTGCTTGGCACTGGCCATTAACCAGCCGCCACATTGTGCTCTGCTCTACATCCCATCAATCGCTCATGCCAGCAGTAGCCATGTGGCCATATCTTTCCCTGTGGCCCCGTCCCTGTTGTCTTCCAGTGGCTCTTTCTGTAACCAGACGGCTGCTCGGAACTAACCCCAGCTGTCACGGCCGTCAGTGGATCATGGCGTCCAATCTGTCCCCCTTTATGACTAGCGCTCGTATCGACTACCAGTTACATACACAGCAGACCACCCTTTACACACTCCGTGTGCCAGCAGCGCAGTGAATCACAGCAAATTAGCTAAGCACCCCAGCTTTAAATGCTTGAGGGGCGGGGGCGCTGAAAACATTAAAAACCAATTGATTGCGTGGCGGCTTGGCAGCTCCTTCCTCGTGTCGCGTGTTAAACCAATGGAGCGTTCTGTGATGCTCCTCGTGTTACGGGGCGATATGGAGGCACCTGAGCGTGGAAGAGAGAGAGGTCACAGGTAGCGAATTAAATCAATTAAAGTAAATTGAATTCAATTAAAACACAGTAAAATAAAATGACGTACATGCAGTTAAATAAAAATAAAACGGAATAAAAAAATTGAAATCAATCACAAGGTAAATTTGTTTCATCATAAAATATTAAAACTTAAAAGATTTATGTAATATAACAGATGATAAAATAAAACATATGTTCTTCAGCATCAACCTTCCTTTTTGACTTTTCTCCTGCAAATCTAGGAAAACACTAAAAATAAAATTTAGCCAACCATCTGAGCTGTGATGTGGCTCATTTTGCATGATGTCTGTTTCAGTAGACGCAGCAGTGAGTCCATTCAAAGAAGCTATGGGGATAACTCGCTCCACCCTAAACACAGATCCAACACCGTCCGCCACACGCAGCGCATCCAGCAGTTCCTGGTGCCAAATCAAACATCAGTTCGTTTTAAAGGCATCGCCATCAATCATTTCACACGGTTCCCTATGCTGACGAAAGAACAAAATCATATATGGAAAAGCAAGGAGCGTTATCCTCTAACAACTTGTACGAGATTTTACGAGCCTGTTTGTTTCTGCAAATGACGAAACATCACACTATGGACAACTGACTGTTATAAAACTGTGCTCCTGCAGGCAACAGAAAGTTGAACTGAAACCAAATGTTTGTAGAGACTATCTATTCATCACAGAAGAAGAGAAATTTCTCTCCAGCTGTAATAAATCTGGAGAGCTGACCATATCCTGGCTCTCTTTCAGTCCCCCATCTGCATTACAACTTTACATCATGTAAAAAGGACAGGTAGCCCATAAATAAAGCACATCTTCTGGAAGATGATTCATATTTAACAAACAGAGGTGACTGATCTCAAAATGGAGAAGATCTGCAGAGTCCAGTCTCCGGTTGTAAACGGAAAGGTTATACACTTGAAACGGTCTCCGCTCCCTTTCATGTGTGTATGGCTTTGTTTCTGTTCGGTTAGTGGAACCTACAAACGTAGGCAGTAAAAATGTGTGTTAGACACTAATGTGTGGAATAAATAAATGGTGTGGTGTATCAACAAATCAAGCTGCTTACACTGAAGACTTCATGGGAAACCAGATTTAGTGGGCAGTACTGGCTACTGGATTGTTTGGTCTTATGAACAAGTACACCACCTTGCAAGAAATCCACAATTTGTTACATTAGAACCACAAAT